CAACAGCATCCTTGCTGTCCGGCAAAGCGTTCTCAGGAAGTTTCGGTGCTGCAGAAACACAAAATTATAGATTGTTATTACTTCTACAAACAGAAAAAACAACATTTTATATCTTAGGTGGTTTTTTTTATTAACTAAAACAGAGACTTACGTAGTGGAATAGAGTCGTGTTGCACTGACAGTCTGTGGACTTCATATCTAGGGGCTTGTTTCAGGAGACTGAACCAAACTCCGAGTCGATCAGCATCGCGATCAGACTCAAATTCTATAAATAACTGGAAAACACAAGCATACGCACGCATATGTAACAGGAAGTCTTTGTTTTAAAAGTAATATAAACACATATTTGTGTGCGTGTATACCTTGTTGAGGAGAGGCAGGAAGTTCCTGACACAACCGATTTTTTTCAGTGCTTCTCTGAGGTTCCTGGTCTCACTCGGTGAGATGTTCTTGATGAAGACCGTTCTTAGTCCAGCATTGCTCACAGGCTGCGTTAAGAACAGGAAGTGAACATCCAAACCAATGAGTTAAAAAGAGGACAAAGACACACAACTGCACTCCTAATTGCAATAAATTAATTTTGTAATTTGGATTACTTCTACCTACAAAATTCAAAGCAGTTTACAAATAATGAGGAAGTGTGTTGGTGTGTGTTAGAGTTACTTACAGCCTTCATCCACATCATCAGTTGTTTATAAAACTCAATCTAAAACAGAAACATCAGAGCAGGCAGCGTTAGATACTTCCCCACAATACACCAGACTCACCTCATGTCAATCCAGAATCCGTGAGACTTTGTATACATATCACCATAAATTATTTCTGAATTTATTGATACTTTTAATATTAAAGTATAGGTCTTAAATATATTGAACATGAAGGAATCAAGGAAATTTAATCATTATACAACACAAGGCACTAAAGGGAAATATGTAGTTCTTTCATGCTACAAAAAGGTAATCAAATTCACATAATAACATAAAATACAAACACAACAGAATATCTACAGGTATTTATATACATATATACATACACGTAACCAGCTCTGTATAATCTGTCAGTAATAAAACATTATTTGTGTGTGTAGCTTACCGGTGTCAAAGCATGGTGGCGTGCTAATACACTAAGGCAGAGTTTAGACTCTTTGAAAAAAATCTCACTCTTCGTGCCGAACTTTATGATTTTTCTTACAATCTCAACACTTGGCATCGTGACGAAGGCCTGAGAGGAAAACCAGAAACAAAAATGTCTGCTGTTATTTACTTGTTCCAAGCAAATCTCCAATAGCATGGTTAAAATCTCATATAGGCACCAATAATGTCTATATAACAATAATAAGTATGCAAAAATGTCATAATAAATGACAAAGAAAACAACTAAAAAATAAATTTCATTCATCTCAGAATCAGTCAACAACAGCAGAAACATCGGATCAATTAACCAAACCAATGCAGAATTAAAACCTGGTGCCTACCATGCGTGCCTGAGGAACAACATAAATGCTGTCATCTTCATATTGAAACCCAAACGGCTTGAGTCGTTTGGCAAGGGCTTCCTCCGTGTAGCGGCAAAACTGATATTTCGGCAGTCCGGTTATGAGTAATTGCTTATGACCGCATGTAGAAAACGGGAAAAAATTAAGGAAAGAGAGAGAAAAGGGATAACGATGAGGGCAAGCAATGTTTAAAGATCAAGACAAGTGCAGTTATTACAACCCTTGTAAACTCTTTGTTCATTCTATATTATTATCAACACCCAAAAGAAATTTAAGGCACAATCTGGAAACAGAAAAAACATCCTTTTATTCTATCAGGATGAAATTTTGCACAACAAAGACAAGACTTTTATGTATTATGAGTTTTGGTTTTAGAAGAAATGCCACAGAAAGGCCTTGTATGGCCTTAATCAATAGTTACCAACACCAAACAATTCAACATATTTGGCTAGGATATCTTTACTCAGACGCAAATGGGCTTTTCCAATACTGCAAATACTTTCCAATGCCAATACTGCTTTCAGTGATCGGTCATCGGCCCCAAAAACCCTGATCGGACTAACCTTAAAATGTATTCATTCAATTGATCATTTCATTTTTGCCTGAAAAAAAATGAGATTTCTTTAGAGAAACTGAACTAAAGACTTGCAGACACCCCGTACAATATTATGTTCCATAATCATTTATTAGGGACATTTTAATATCTATAATAATCTTATTTGTGCATCATCTGAGTGCAAGGATGAAGGTAGGTCCTATTCTGTTTCTGTTATACAACAACCCCTACCCCTAGTTTAACTTCTATCTTTAGGAAAACTACAGGTGTAAATACTGTAGCACTTCATTTAAGTGATTTGACCTACTGTTG